CTAGTATAGACTGTCGTTCTATTTCAACTCGATTTTTTATTTTTATTCAATACTCCCCGAGGGAATTTCCCGAGAGGTTGGGGAATATTCCGGGAATATTCCCAATGGCCATCACTAGGTGTGATAATAAAATGAGGATAGGTGACCTATTATAATATATCCTTATGAGTTATGATATTGTCTACATTATTGAAACTTTTTACATTTTTATAATTATAGAAATACTAAATCACAGGACACTATTGATTACAATAATTTAAACTCGTCTGGCAGCCAAAGTATTTTGCAAGTACTAAATCACACAGAAATGACGGAAACAAATCTTTCTAATTCGGCCAATGGTAAGAGTACCCTGAGTACCTAATATTTTTAACAGGGAGTGCAGTATAATTTGTATTAAAATCAATTTTGAAAATTTAATTGAACACCAAATTATTTTTAAGGCAAAGAAATAAAAGAAGGCAATGGTGTATGGAGTGAAGGAATCACTAAATTTATGTTGGAAAAATATTCAAAATATATGAGTTATGTTGGACCTATGAAATAATTTAAGAACAAAAAATCTATGTGGATACAATTGGCTTCTGATATTCAAGAGGAATTAAATGTAGATTTCTCTTATATTCAAGTTGAAAACCGTTATAAGACAATTTGTAAAAGAAAAAAGACCATAATTGACAATAACAGAAGCACAGGTGCATCACGGATGGATGATGAGTACGAAGAAGAATGGAAAGAAATAACTAACAATGATGATAGCATATTGCCAGAAGTATTACGCAGCGCTAAAACAGTTGTCATTAACAAAAAAGATTGTTTAGAGCCAAAACAAAAAAAAAAGAGAACAGACAACAACGAGACCATGTTATTAAATTTTCTTAAGGAAAAGGAGATTGCAAAAGAAAGGCGCCACAATGAAAAAATGAATCTCCTAAAAAGTCTTTTAGGAGATAAATAATATGTAACCCATGTATATTATATACCATTGATTATTATTTTATGTGTATAAAGAGTAAAATACATATTCAAAAACTGTATTATATTTTGTTAAAGACTGAGAAAAGCTTTATTAGTGTATAATTAGTTTATTTAGTAATTTTTACAAGAAGTTATTTATGTACCTAATACATATGTTATTTTTTATGTTTGCACATACATTTAATTTGTATGCATTTTTTCAAAACATTATAATAAAATTTAAACATTGTCTGATTTAAAAAAATTAACTGAAAATGGTTTATTAGATTTTATAATATATTACTAAAAATGTATTAAATCATTCATCAGAAGTGTAGCACTGAAAATATTGTAAGCTATTTTTTAGTGTCTCACGTTTAGCTTCTCCTTTTTTTCTTAAGACAATGTCCGAGTCGATTGAATAAACATTTGGTTCTGCTGCTACTGTTAATAGTATTTCATTATCCAACTCATTGTAATCTTCCATATCAATACACATGTTGTGTAATACACAACATGAAATAATAAACTTAGTTATTTTGTCCACATCATGTATATCAACCTGAAGTAGTTGTCTGAACCGCGATTTAAGAAGTCCAAATGAATTTTCAATTAAAACTCTAGTACCACATAACATTTTGTTAAATTTAATTTGGGTGTCTGTTAAGTTTCCATAATTTTTGTATGGTACTAATAGCCAATCTCTTATACTATAAGCACCATCTCCAATAATATGGTATTTATTTTCGCATATTAAAGGAAGCTCTTTACTAATGTCTGACAGAGCAAATACTCTTGAATCATGGATTTTCCCTGGTGCACCGGTGAATACATCAATATATTTTTTTTTGTAGTCACATATAGCTTGCAGGGTAATATATGGCATATCATGCCTATTGGTATATGTACTTTTAAGTTTGTGAGCAGGAGTTCTTATAGGTATTGAAGATCCGTCGATGCACCCGATTACACCAGGAAGTCCAGAAACCTAAATTTAATATGGATTTAGTAAATAAACCTTATGTAAGGCAAAAAAAGCTTAATTTGTATATATACTTTTTGAAATTCTTGAGATAATTTAACAGTTCCTTCGTTTAAATTTATATTAGTAGTTGAAATATCAACAAGGAAGTCCATAACTCTGTTGTTGATACGGAATTGTGTGGTCAATCCAACACCAAACCGTTCTGACACATCACGTAGGCAACATTTATTTGCAGAAAACCTGAACCATTTTATTTTAATAAGTAAAGGATTTAGAATAGTATTTTGTCAACTATAAATTTACCATAAAAAGGAAAGTATATGATTTTCTGACGTGACAGAAGATTCATTCAAATTTTTTCTTGGAAAGAAAATAGAATTTTCAAACTTTTCTATAATATTGTATGCAGTAGATCTTTCCACCCTAAAACTACCTTTAAACTAAAAAAAAAATTATTATTATTATAATCGGATTAATTACATTAAAGCCTAAACCTAACATTTACAAAAATAATTATATTTATAATAAAGAACTAACTTGTTTATCTGTATAAACATGAACTATGTCCGAAATATAACTTTTAATTTTTGGTATTATTTTTATTTTTCTGGACATAAAATACTTTATAATTTCATCATCATCATCATCACTATCACTAGAGGAAAGGTAATCCATGATTTTTGCAATTGTATGCCTATTCATATTGAGTTCGAATTTCGAAAATTTTATTATGATCAATATTTTTCTTTATAAAACGTTCTACCTTGTCGTACAATAATGAATAAAATATTGTTTTTAAATTTGTTTATCATTTTTATTAAATATCAATACTGCCATATCAGTACTTTTCGTGATACTGATAAGGCGCACGAGCTCCAGGAGCTCGTGCAACTATCACTGCACTGAGTGCAAAAAACTCGCATAGTGCAGTAACGTGGAACATAAAATTAGTAATTTAGTACGCACTGAAATAGCTGATGAAACATAAAAAAGTGCATTAGTGCAGCCACAGTGCAGCTAGTGCAGTCAGGTGGAAAACGCTATTAATAAATTAAAAAAATTGATTATGATAACACTTATCGGTATAAATTCGGCTTTAATGCGTTTCGACTAAAATACGTTCGGCTGTAATATTTTTCGGCTAAAATACGGTTCTGCTAATTTACTTGTCCAACCAATTATTTTTCGGCTAAAATACGGATCGGCTAATATATTTTTGGCCATTATACGCGCTCCCTCCTTAACTACTGGTTACTTTCCTAACATTTGGAAAATGTCTTTTGTGACGCCGATACACAAACACTATGTCAAAATTTATAGACCTATTTCTCAGTTGTCAATAATTCCTAAGATGTTTGAAGCAATTATCACTAAAAATTATCTTTAATTATTTCCCCGTACATTTGCACAAATCAACATGGCTTCAGACCTAAAATGTCAATTTCTACTAATCTCTTGCTTTACTAGCCTAAAATTTTAAATCCCTTCAACAACCATATTCAAATTGATTCCATTTACACAGACTTCCAAAAAGCTTTCGACAAAGTCAATCTCATTTTACTTCTAAAAAAATTATTTAATTTTTATTTGCAGTGAAAACTTTTTAAGTTGGATTGAATCTTATCCTACTTGCCGCACCGAAGCAGTAAAGTTTTCTCTTTTCTCTTGTTACAAAATCCGGTTGTAATTAAATACAGAATTTGACCTTGACCATCACGATAATAAATATATATATACGATATCACGGCCCACCGCGACAGACCGCCGACCGAATTACTAAAATAATATTTACATCGACATACCGATTACCGACGATATAATATACGATAACACAATGTTACAATATAATATATTTTCAATAACTTTTATACATATTTATTTTTAGATAATTATAATTTACAAGTATCTAGCGGTATCGAACTCTCCTGCGACCAGCCGCCCCGGAAATTATTGGGCAAAAAACGGCACAACGTCAACCAACACAATAGCAGTATTAATTACATATATACGAATTATTGTACAAAAATACTTTGTGAAACATTTACAATGACGTTGGACCCGAGCGGTGGATTTTCCACGAAACTAGTAACCAACAAACAATAGGAACATTGGGTGGGTTGGTGTGTGGTGTAGTCTGTTCAATTTTGCGCCGGGCCTGCATACGATAATATAATATTATCTTGAATTTAAAAAGTATATAATATTATAGTATATTATATTTATATATAGTCAATAGAATATATAGTATTATTTATAGTTTCTATAATGATATTGTACACAAACGGTGACCCGTGAAACCGTTTGATTTTTATAGTAAGAGCCGGTACACACGACCGATATTTCATCGTACGATTTATTTATCGTATTAAAATATTATCGTACGATAAGGTGTTGGTTAGGTACACACGACCGACATTTTATCGTACGATCTATATCATATATTATAAATTATAATATATCATCAAAATTACGTATTCGGTATGAACTGTGCAGTGTTATTTGAGTGTTGTGTATTTTACAGTTCTCACTTTAAGTGCATTTTAACAATTAATTCCTAGTTTATTATCAAAAAAAAAAAACAATGAATGATATTATAATTGTATATATGGGTTATAAAATATTACTAAAGAAAAAAAAAGAAAAAAATCGAAAAATGTGGGTCCATCCATTATTATCCACTCGTTTATCGGAAGGTGCGTTTTCAATTAATTTTGAAGGTCTTAGAAAAGATCCAGTAAAATTTTTTAATTATTTTCGTATGTCAGTATCTGCTTTTGATGAGTTACTTACAACATTTGTTGGTCACAAACTGATAAAAATGGATACAAATATGCGAAAAGCCATTACTCCAGCTGAAAAATTGGCAGTCACTCTAAGGTATAATTAATACTAGTAGTACATAGGTATTACATATTAATATTATATTTTAATATATTGTATTAATAATAGTCCTGTTTTTAATTAATATACTTTATAAGTCAGTTTATTTAACAATTTACATTAGAAATTCATTGCTAAAAATAAAAATAATAACTAACGTTTTAATTAAAAAAAACATTTACCAGATACTAGTTACTAATTTATTTGTTTAATTAGTAATAATTTATTTTGTTATTAAAAACTCATCCATTATATCAGAATCAGAATATATCACATCCCTCCCTGGCACAATATCCGAGTGATGTGAAAGTGTTGATGTAGAATATGGAGAAGGAGAACTGGCATTTGATTGGTGTGGAGATTCTGGGGAAACGACATTAATATGTTGAGACGAAGCATAAGTTTGAACTGGGGGTTGTAGACTATGAACATTTTGAACATTTTGAGATTGGACATAAAGACTGGTATTCCTTGCAGGTAATATGTCGTATTGAGTATTTGCATACTGTGATGATGTTTGTTGTGGATGTATATATTGCTGATTGTTCGGGTTGTACATTCTATACGGACTAAATGGAAGTTGATGGAAGTATGGGTGATGCTGAAAAGATGTGGATGATACATTTGGTTTTATTGTCTCCGGTAAACTAGAAGATTGGCCTCTCTTTATAGTTTGTGCAATTTTGATCACCTCTGATCTGAAAAGTAGTGTCTAGTCGTCGTTAAATTTTCTAACTATCGGTAACAAGGAGTTAAAAAATTCTTGATGCTGATCTTGTTTATAATCATTAATCTCTTTCTGTGTTTGTACTTCTAAATATTCTAAAAACTTCTTTTCGACAATTGATTCCTTTTGTTTGCTCTGTTTTTTTTTGTTTAGTCCAGAGTTGTTTGAAGTTGAACATTGTTCTGTCACTATTTCGGATGTTTGTAAGTTATGTTCAATATTATCATTTATAGTATTATTCGCAATATCATTGTCATTTATAGTATCATTCTCAATATTGTCATATGCAGTATTATTTAAATTAATAGAGCTTGAAGTCTTTCGTGGGGTTATTGTTTTAATGAGGAATCTTAATTCATCATGATATAAGTATGTTTTTTTGGATTTTTTCCTGGCGCCATCGCCTGATTTTGGCTTATCTTCCTTTAAACTTCTAATAAATGCATCTCGAACATTTCTCCATTTCTTCTCTATATTATTTCCTACAAATGTAATACGTAAATATAGGCTTTTGAAATATTGGATTTTTTTTTAGATTCTGAGCGAAGCGATGAATGTATTGGTTTTACAATGATGTTTGTTTTTTATTTATTTTTTATTTTTTATAAGCATTGTAAGTTAAAATTTTGCCAAATTTTGACAGTTATCACTTATCAATATCTCGAAAATGCACAAATTATTTAGTAGTTTCAATACTCTACGCCGACAAACCGTCTCCGCTCAGAATCGTTTTTCGTATTCAATGATATATTATTTTAATATTGTAAAATTATAGATTATAAATACTCATGAATTATATCACAACTAAAAATAACTGTAATTTATTATTTATTGGTTTTAGATATCTTGGTTCAGGATGTACATTTAAGGATTTACACTATTCGTACAAATTAGGAGTCTCATCAATAGCTATGATAGTTCGAGAAGTTTGTTCAGTTATATGGAATGAACTTGTTGGAGTTTATATGCCCACTTTTACTGAACAATACTGGAAAGATATTTCAACTGGTTTTGAGAAACAAGCAAATTTTCCTCACTGCATTGGAGCGGTAGACGGAAAACATATAAGTAGTAGGTGGGGCACTCCAGCACACTTTGTTATAATTAAACACAAATAGATCACAAAAATGAAATTAAANTGGATTATAAAATAAATAATTAATTTAAATATATATAGTGTAATAAAAATTGTGTTTTGATAAAATTGATAGTCAATTGTACTTAGTAAAAAAAAATACAAATAATAATAATATTATAAAATATTCATTTATTGAATAAAAACATTTTTATTATTTAATAATAATATTTATTGCAACCACAAGAATTTACAATTTTACATAAGTAATCAGAACAGTTGCAAACTCATTCTAAAAGCACCCATTGCTTGTATGTGGATAAGTTGTGTTCATAAAATACAATAAAGTTCCTTACAATATCAAAATATAATAACATCAAATACAATATCTCAAAAACAATTTAAAATGATATACATATTATTATATTATTAGGAAAAAAAAAATATATTGAAGATTATTTGATATGAATGGGTTATTCCACTTTATTGTTATTTGTACCTATATAAGTATAAGTATTATGAAACTCTTTTAGTCGTTTGATTAAATAATTGATTTAAATTTTGGTTGTAATTTTGGTGTAATTTTTATTAAAATGGAAGATACAATGTATTTTAACAGCCTTAAACATTTATTAAACAATTCAAAAATCATGAACAATAGTATACAAGGAGAAATGAGTGATTTAAGTTGTTTTAATAACCATTTGTTAGAATTAGGTTACGGATACGTTGTGGCAAAGTCAATAAAATATGAAGGTAAATTATTAATTAGTATGAATACTGAATAGACTATAAAATATAGTTATTAATTGAATTTCAAAATATAAACCAATAATATTAAAATGTGTTGATAGGAGAAAACTCTAAGTACAGATTTTCACTTGAGCGTGGAGAGTTGCCAATTAAATTTATGGGCTGTCCATTTTTAATTAAACAGCACATTTATTTTGAATGTGTTAATGGACCTAATCACAAATCCAAAGAAAATACACATGTAATAACACTATTTCTATAAATTTCTAAAATCAAATTACTTACTTACATATTTATTTTTTTTTTACTTTTTTGACATTTATAGAATGATCATCCTACTTGTGTTAAAAAAAGGTTTTCTATTAATAGCACAAAAAAATTTAACTGTCCAGCAACTTTGGTAGCTGTGAAATTATTATATTTCCCTGATTATACTATTGAAGAAAGCTCATCAACTAATTGGAGATCTAAAAAACAGGTACCTGGAAATACAAAATAGTTTATTAATTTAAAGAATTTAGCCCATTTAAAAATTATTTTAATATTAGTTTAGATGATAAAAGTATAAAACGCTGGTAAATATAACTTTGTAATTTACAGATGATAGAAAAGTTAAAAAACGAGTTAAAATTAGAAAATGTACAAATAGAGGCTAAAGAAAAATATTTACTACTTCTGTCACTTCCTTCAGTACACAATCATGCTATAGAAACATCTCTTTTAAATCTACCTATTGATAGTTCAATATTAAAAGAAATTTCCCGTTTGGTGAATAATGGATTTTCTAATATTAAGATTGTGTCATCTATGTTGAAGGATTTTATTGAAAGAACTTGTGCAACTGCACCTTCTCCAATATCACGAGCGTTTTATCCTGATGAAAAAACATTAAGAAATTATATTATTAAATTTACTTATGAAAAACACCAAAGTAAAATTGATCAACATGCTTTGGCTGTTAAAATCGAACAATGGAAAAAATCTCACTCAAATGATAACTTCTTTTTTCGGCCATATAATGAATCTAATGGTAGTATAAAACCACTTCTTTTCTGCTATCAAACAGAATGGCAAAGACATTTAATAACAAGATATGGTAACATTTGTCTTCTTGATGCAACTTATAAAACGACAAAATATACCTTGCCTCTATTTTTCTTAGTTGTCAAAACCAATGTCAATTATTGTGTAGCTGCAACATTTATTGTACAGAGTGAAGATGCAGATTCCATCAAAGAGGCTCTATACATGATTAAATCCTGGAATGATAAGTGGGTTCCTCAATATTTTGTTACTGATTATTGCGAAGCAGAATATAATGCTATAGCCAAAGTGTTCAATAATTGTCCTACTTACATTTTCGATTTTCACCGAGAGCAAGCATGGTTGAGATGGGTTAATAAACAAGGCAATCTACATGTTAAAGATGATCGTGGTCAAATACTGACACTTTGGAGAAGTGTAGCCCACAGTAATGACGATAGACAATTTGAAGAAGCAGTAGAAAAAATGAAATTGACTGCCGCTTGGTTAAGGAATCCAAAAGCTCAAGAATATTTTATAAGAACTTGGCTCTCTATTGAAGAAAAGTGGACTAATCGATTCTTTAAAGACGAATTTGATATTAAAATTTCGACGAATAATGGAGTAGAGACACAAAATAAAATTATTAAGAGCTTTTATTTAAAATTGACAAGTGACAAGTCTCTAAATAGTACGATAGAAACTATAATTGATCAATTTTTACCAGAATCATTAAAAAAATATTCTATAAAAAATTTAAAACTTACAGGAGAGTATAAAAAAATGTCTAATGTTATACCTGATTTTTTACATGGAAGACCAGAACCATTCGTCAAGCATATTTATTCAAGATTTTCTACTGCTCAAAATATATATTCTGAAAACAAAATAAAAAAGTTAGAATTAGAACATTCATTTCATGTTAAGAGCGAAGATGGAACTTGTGTTTACACAGTTAATTTCCTAATACCAAATTGTACATGTATTGATTACATTAAATTCCATTGGCCATGTAAACATATATGTGCAATTTTCCTTTACATTCCAGGTTATTCATTTGATGATCTACCTGAAAAATTTAAAAATAATTCATTCATATCAGCTGATCCTTATTATTCTATAAAAAATATACACTGTAAAAACATATTAACAAAATCACCTATTGATGTATTGAAAAAGGAAAATGCTTCACAATTAAATATTATAGACATAGACAACAGTATAAGTGATCAACATAATCCAATTCCAGACACTGAAAAGCAACAAAATCTTCCAGAACAATTTCGAGAAACTCTAAAAAAAATGTTAGATTTAACATATATAATTAATTCAAATGACCATTCGAAAGAATTGTCTGAACAACTTAAAATTTTAAATAGTATTCATTCAAATATGAATTCTATGACAAATAAAGACAATGGTTTAGTATTATTACCTTCAAAGCGTTCGTCTACACAGTTATTAGATATACCAAAATCACACAAAAAAAAGAAACTTGCATGAACATGATTGTTATTATTATTATTATTATTATTATTATTATTATTTGTATTTTTTTTTACTTACTACTCTACTTTTTTTTTTTACTAAGTACAATTGACTATCAATTTTATCAAAACACAATTTTTATTACACTATATATATTTAAATTAATTATTTATTTTATAATCCATAAATTAACCACCTATACATGTTTTAATTAATTATTTTGTATTGTTTATTTAAATCATTTGTATCATTGTAACATGACTTCCAGCAAAAGACTTGGATTTAATTTATAAATAATATACAATAATAATATTTGATATGAGTGAGAATATAATATTTAAGATAACATTTTTTTTTTGATAACAACAAAATGATAACGGCGGTGGTGGTCTAATCGACTGCGTATAGACAGACCCCTAACTTTAATCGTTATCATTTTATCGTACCTTAAATATTGTGCCATTATAATGGCAATTGGGCGTAATGTCGAAATTCTTATCAATTAATATTTACATTTTACACCACTGACGAACGGTTGTTATTCGTTTTATTTTCGTTCCGTCTTCCGTACGACCACGACGTTTGTCTACGGTCGTTACCGTGTTATTTCAATTCCATTTGTCTAAAGTAAGTTTTTTTAAGATTCTATTATACTACTTATAAACAATTTTAATATTATTTTTATGTAATATGAAATTATTTAGGTATTTATATGTAATGTCACGAAAACAACTCCGTGATTTTGATATATTGGAATTGCTTGGTAACGGCCAAGACTCAGATTTATCATCTTTATCTGGTGATGATGATGATAATGTAGAAGAAGAAAATATATTTCCTACATCAGAACTAGACAGACTTTTAAATGATTTCGACAATGATGATGGCTATGAATTGTTTCCTGATTTATTTGATGTTGATATTCCTACTGGTGACGGTATGTTCAATTATCAATATTTTATATATTTTATAATTTTATTGCATATACCTATATTTATTATTATTTTTTAAATAAATCATATTTAGATGAAATAAGTGAGGGCAATTCTACATCTCAGCCAATTCAAAATACTGATTTATTCATTCCAATTCAAACACCTACTATATCACCTATGGTAAATTTACCATATGTTGACAAAAAAGATATAAAGTGGGATATGAAACCATTGGTATGTAAGGAAATTGA